TGTGCAGAGATCTATTTCTAAGGAACCTTCTGAGTGTCCTTTTTCCAAGATTGATTTATTCCATTGTTCTGGAATTCATGATGCATCAAATATTCTTCACCAACATCGTAACTCAAAGGATCAATTCTTCTTTCTTGTCCAGATTTTGTTTGCAAATGAGGCATCTGAAAGCACCATGGCTTGAGTCAGGTACACCAATGACATCTCTGACTTTTAGCACTTTTCCCCATTTTTTAAATTTGAGTGAAAGTTTATAAATGGCAACACTTTAAAGAAGTCTTTTGTCATAGATCTGCTCAATGGCATATATCAAGGTGGTTGCTGTTGAGTACATTCGAGTCAGAACTGATCCGTAGCTGACCCTCAAGCAAGTTTTCAGAGGCAGTAAACTGCGCGGGAGGAGACTGCCCATCGTTACCCTCACAGCAGTAGACGGTGGAGCTCTACCAGCTGCTCCTTGGGAGAAGAGGAGCAATCTCCCTCCATTGGACTGACAACCTCCGAAAACCTCTTGGAAAGTCAGCTATGAGTCAGTGGTTCCAATTCGACAGCAATGAGTTGTTGTTTGTTATATAATTTGATTTCTTGACTGCTGCTTCTATGGACAATGTTTGTGGATTCAACTAAAATGAAGTCTAAAAATTGTCAACTGCAATTTTTTTCTCCTCCAAGAACTGCAGTCTTTGGTATGCATTGCATCTCAATGCCAAGAAAACAAAGATTCTTACTGCTGGAGTGATAGGCACCATCATGATGGAGGGAGAAGAGATTGAAACTGTCAACACTTCACCTTGCTTGGATCCACAACTAACACACTTAGTACCAGCAGTCAGGAAATAAGGAGACACATTGCACTAGGAAAGTCTGCAGTTAGAGACCTCTTCAAATTATTGAGGAATAATGATTTCAGTTTGAGGACTAAGGTGCATCTCATTCAGGCCATAGTCTTTCTGATTACTTGCTCTGCATCTGAGAGCTGGAAAATGAATGAAAAGGATGCCAGGAAAAGAATTAATGCTTTTGAGCTGTGGTGTTGGAGAAGAGCACTGAACATCCCGTGGACGCCAAAAAGTACAAACAAATATGTGTTGGACAGGGTGCAGCTGGAGTGCTCTTTAGAGGGCCGTTATGAGTTGTACTTGACTCGGCGACACCTAACAACAACAACAACAAAAACAACAACAACAATCATTATGTTGGTAATTGGTACAGTTGTGTAGATTCTTTTTATCTTTATGTTGAGGCATAAACTACACTCAAAATAAGCAGTAACCGCTGATTTTCACCAACTGGTTGTTGTTGTAGGTGCTGTGTCGAATACAACTCACAGTGACCCTATGAATAATGTATCTGAACCCTGTTCTATGTTGTGCCATCCTCATCATCTCTGACACTCATGAGCCCAGTGTGTAAGAGTTCAATCTCTCCACATCTTTGGCACATTTGTTGTTTAATGCCTTATAGAATACAGCTATTTTTGCTTGGGTGAGAAGATAGCACTTGAAAAAAATTATTTTAAGAAGTAAACGCCCTTGCCTGTCTTAGTCTGGAAGCTCTGCTAAAATTAGTCCACCATGAGTGACCCTCCCTGTTGGTATTTGAAACACTGGCAAATCTTCCAGCATTACAAACCACTAACTGGCTATAACATACTGGAAATATACTTATCTGTGCCATGGGTGCCTCATTTATAAAATGTGACTAATAGTGTTCACTTGGGATCATTTAGAGAATTTTATTTGTTCTTTCATGTAAAACACTTAGACTAGCGTCCAGCACAGAGTAAACACCATATCTATGTATCTCTGGGGAGAGAATCACATGAGTGATTGGGAAAGGTGTTGGGCAGAAGAATGAAACCAACAATAGTGTTCTACGCACCGGGAAAGGAGTTTGTATGGGAGAAACACAGCATAGAAATAAGGAAACCAGGAGAGTCCCCGAAGCCAGAGGAGCTGATTTTTTAGGGGGAGAGGGCATTGAGCGCCGAGGGAGGTGTACAATTTGCTTGGATTTGAACCTGAACCTTAGCTGAGCCACCTTTCGTGAACTTTGATTTTGGAGGGTCTTATTCCCTGTGCCAACTTCCAGTGATGTCACTTCTAGCCCCTCCCTCTCCTCTCCTCAGTCCTATTTTCTCCATTGCTGACATCCTGGTGCAAGGAATCTTTTCCCCCCTCCCTTCATTAAAAAGACATCAGATTGATGACCTTTTTCTCATGTCATTTTTATTACTATTTGTACAGTTTTCATTTGCTTGGCTCCACAGTCAGCACTCTTAATAACAGCAGCCAGGAAATCAGGAGACGAATTGCATTGGGAAAGTCGACTGTGAGGGACCTCTCAAGAGTACTGAAGAGCAACGACGTCAGGCTGGAGACTAAGGTGCGCCTGATCCAGGCTATAGTCTTTGCAATTACATGCTATGTATCAGAGAGTTGGACAGTGAATAGGGATGATAGAAAGAGAATTGATGCCTTTGAGTTGTGGTGCTGGAGAAGAGTATTGAATATACCATGGACTGCTAGGAGAACAAACAGGAAACAGGTTTGTCCTGGAGAGGGTGAAGCCAGAATGTTCCCTGGAGACATACTTTGGGCATGTTGCAAGGAGGGACTGATCCTTGCAGAGGGCCATCATGTTTGGGAGAGTGGAGGGATGGCGCAGGAGAGGGAGACCCTCAATGAGATGGATCAATTCTGTGAGTGGAGTGGTGGGAATGAATGTGTTTGAGACAGTGAGGTTGGGACAGGATAGAACGGCGTTTAGGGCTCTCGTACATAGGGTCGCTATGAGTTGCAAACTACTCGATGGCACATAACAACAACAACAACAACATCATTCTATTTTAGAAAAAGAGAAGTCTCCAGACTCTTAATTTTAAAATGAGGAGCTAAGATTCTTTCACTAACCCAAGAGTTCATCTTTGGTTTACAGATTAACCATTAGGAAGACTGGTAGTTAAAATTTTACAGTGGGAATGAAAGACAGTATATCTCCATGAAGGAAAGCATGTTTGGGGGGCAATGATTCTATTTGTACTCATCTTTTGAAGAACCTAGAGGAAAACAGCTCGGTCTGGATACTTTCTTCTCTTCGGTTTTGCTCCTTTTACACCTTTTCTGGTCAAACATCAGTTGCACACCATCGGGACTCATAGAACCATGTTTTTTAGCTTTGCAAGGAAAAAAGGCCTGTGTACTTTGCTTTTTGGTTGATTTTATTTCTTCCAAAAAGTTCTTACAATGTGAACTGACCTTGCACAGTCAACTTGATATAATCTTAAGAAAATATATGAAGTATGCTTTAGGGAAAAAAATGACATATACACTAACCAGCCATCTCGCTTGGCAATCATTTTCCACAGCTTTGTCCTTTTGGGATGAGGAAGTAGGGTTAATTTTACACATGAATGATTACATCTACAAGATTTAAGAGATCCAAACTCCGGCTGACCTTCCTCTGCAGCCCCAGCTGGTATGGGGAGACAGAAACAAGGCGGCAGGGGAGTTTTATTCAAAAGCTTCAAGTGCCCCTTGGGCTGTTTGGTCATCAGAAGTGGCAACCCCAGAAGAGCTGCCTGAGGTCCAGGCAGTCCACATGCACTTCAAAGAGACCCCCACAATAACAGCATTTGTGCAATGCTAACCTGTTGCCATCAGATCAATCCCAATTCACCACGAGCGCATGTCTAACAGAGCAGAACTCCTCCACAGGCTATTCGTGGCTATGATCTTTTCAGAAACCAGGCATTTTAAGATCACCGGGCCTTCTCTGCATTGGCATTGATGGGTAAATGCAAACTGCCAACAGGTAGCTTAATACTCCATCAGTGTTAATAGCCCATGTTGTTGTCGTTGTGTGCCATTGAGTTGGAATGGATGCACAGCTGACCTTCCTATAGGTTTTCAGAGGCTATAAATCACACAGGAGGAGACAGCCCCTGGATTAGAACCATGCGCTGTCTGTTGGCCGGCAGAGCTACTTCTTACCGCTAGGCCACCAGAGCTCTCCCATTGGCTCCACAGGAGGGGCTAACATGCATTCCATGGAGGAAGTAGGTCTATTTCATTGGTCCCATTGCAGTCCGAGTCTCTTTGGGAGCATGGAACACTGTAGCCAGAGGACCTTGGATTCCAGGGCTCCACATTCACACAGAAACCCAAACATCTAACTCTAACACAGGGACTTCTTTTTAGCGCTCAGCTCAACAGTGCAAGTATCATATAGGTGTTCAATCCAGAAATTGTGGGCTTAGAAGAAACAGCTGCTTCATTGCTCTGGCCTTTGCCCAAAGACCCAGCTCCAGCTCTGAATTGATTCTGAAGAAGTTACTGTCCTGGCTCCATTTCTAGCCCTATACCGAGTCAAGGGAATGGGAAGAGATCGATGTAACAACCACAGAGACCTAAATTGAGCTGTTTTTCTGACTGCTTTCTCTCAATCATCACAAACCTGCCCACTTAACAGCTAATAGGACAGAGATGAGTTTTCTATTAGTAGCAGCTGATGTTTCTGTCTCCAGACCGTCTCACACTGATCTGCCTGGGGTTTGGCAACCAATCAGAGCCCCTGCAGCCTGCAGTGTGGAGCTCAAAGAGGAAAGACAGGTCTGTGGGTGAGTATTCCAGTCATTTCTTTTCTTCTGGATGGTTTACTGATCCTGAGGTGCCTCTCTCAAAAAAAGGTCAAGTGATGTTAAGACCTGGAGGAGGCCAGGCTAGTATATACAGGAAGGTGGTGACAGGAGAGGGTGAGTTGGCAGTTGAAGGACCCTAAGAGGCCACGTCCCTCGAGCTGGTCCGATTCCACAGAGCTGTGGGAAGCAGAGGTCCTGGGGAACAAGCTGCTGAGTCAAAGCAATGCTGAGCAGAGCTTTCTGGGAAACTTCAGGGCCTCTGGAAATGTCTGGCAGCTTCATACCCAAGAGTCACTGGGCGACCTGGGAGGCTGACCTGGGCAGGTGGGCAGAAGGTAAAGTTGGGGTGCAGGTGGGATAGTGGGTAGAAGGTTCAGTCCTCAGTCTTTTTGTCTCTATGATGCTTCTCACTCTGAACTTGGAGAGGCTGCAGAGTCCCCATCCTCAGGGTCCTGGCCATGCGGAGAGATGGGCTGACCCCCCTTTACACGCTTCCACTTCATCCTCCGGTTCTGGAACCACACTTTGACCTGAGAGAGGAAGCAAAGGAGTCTGGTCACCGCAGGGTCAGTGTGCCCCCTCCTCTGGTCATGCCCACGCTAGCAGGGGACCCTAGCTTGAGACCCTTACTTTGCCCCTCACCATTCCCCAAAGGTCTAGGAACTCAGCAAACGGAGAGCATTCAAATTGTCCCAGACACCTGTCTCCTCATCTCCAGGTAAAGCCAAGTCCCAGAGGGTCAGGGAAATAGGTTCTGAAAGTCACTCTTCTTTGAGCTCACCCCCTTTCACAGGCCCCTCCCCCTTCTCCCTCATTCCCTGTTCCCCAAGTATCTGGGAGCAGAGGATCATCAGACTCCACCTTTGTGGTTGCGTGTCATGGAGCCGAAGCACACTGGCCCTATATGACAGAGTAGAGCTGCCCTTCGGGGTGTCCGTTCGGCACACGGATAAAGCCTTTTCAGGTGAGAAAGTTCTGGAATGCACACTTCTGAACCGCCGACTGGGACTGTGATCCCGTTATACAGATGGGAGCTCTGAGAGGTCAAGGGACACGCCCCAGAGGTCCCAGAGTGAGGAAGTAGTAGAGGCAGGATTTGAATCTAAGTCCTTTGAGTCTAAATATGGTAGTTTATGTACCACTGCAAATTGTTCTCAATGTTAGAGTCTGAATAAGGGATTTTCCTCAAAGTGTGCCCAGGAGCTATCATCTGAATCACCTGGAATATTTATTAGAAATGCCGCTTGTCAGTTCCATACAACCTTACAACAGTACTGCCCTCTGGAGCTGTGGGCCCCAGAATCTGCTCCTGAAGCAAACGCCTCTGGTGATTTCACCAGCTTTAAGGCTGGCTGTGTGGCTAAATCCTGCCTGAGACCCAGGAACAATCTCAAGGGGTGGAAACAGGGCATGGGTGAGGTTAAAATCTCCCAGGTGATTCTCTGCAGGGTGAGAGGAGAGCGCGGAGAACCACTGGACTAGTGAGAGCAAGGAGATAAGGAAACCTCCCCAGTAGGGAAAGAGGAAGGGTGGGAATGGAGGGGACAGAGGAAGACGGTGGGCCAGGGGCGTACCTGCCGCTCTGAGAGGTCCAGGTTCACGGCGATCTCGTATCTCCGCAGCCGCGTCAGGTAGTTGTGGTGCGCGAACTCGGCCTCCAGCTCGCGCAGCTGCTCCTTGGTGAAGGCCGTCCTCTCTTTGCGGGCCTTGTTGCCTCCTTCAGCTCTCCCTCGGTTCTCCTGGCTGTCTGCGGAGGGACAGACCAGGAAGGCCGTGAGCTGAAAAGGTCTTGCCGCCTTTTCTCTGTCTCTTGGCCTAGCCTGTAGGGAACTGAGCTGCTAACCCAAAGACTGCGTCTCATGTGCGGGGTTCGAATCCACCACTAGGGCCTCTGCAAGAGGAGAATGGACAGTCTCCTCGCATTTGATTTACAGCCTCTGAAAACACGCTGAAGGGTCAGCTATGAGCTGGTCTTGACTGCAATGCATTTGGGTTGCGCAGGTTTGTTTTTGTTCCTTTCTTTTCTAAAGGATTATAAGAAATTAACCCTCCTCATTCCTTCCCACGTCTTAGTACCCTAAGAACTGAGAAGTGCTGTTTTGGCTCCCAACCTCAGTTATCCCTCCTTTTTACTGCTTTCACTTACCAAGCTGCCTTTGGCTTGGTGGTGTGATATGTAGCATATGAGAACACTAACTGTAAAGGTTGACAGTTTAAACCCACCAGCCAGATGCCCTCCTGTAAAGATTCCTGATGTTGGGAAGTGGGACGGAGGTCACTCTGAGTCAGGACCAGCGTGAGGGCGGTGAGTTTGGTTTGAGATTTGGGCATTTGACACATGGCATGATTAGTGACTAAAAGCTTCTGAGGATAGAGATTCATACCAGCAGCCTCAGTGCCTGTGACTCGAGAAGAGTCTTGTTCACTCACTCATTACTCCCCAGTCAGAACTGATTCATGGCTGACCCTCCAGTAGTTTTCCAGAGAGTCCAAATCCCGTGGGAGGAGAGTGCCATCTTTCTCCCGCTTAGGTGGTGTTGGCTTTGAACCTCCAGAAAGGCACCACCTTTGATTGAGCAGCACCAACGCTCTTCTGACTACGCCACCAGAGAGATGAAGTCCTCACCCAGCCCCACGCCGCTGTAATAAGCTCTCCTGGGAATCTGACGTGTGGACAAGTTTGCAAGTCACTGCTGTAAGAACAGGAGCCTGCATGGTGCCACGCTCACAGAATTCAGCTGTTAACCAAAAGGTCAGAAGTTCAAACCTTCCACCTGCTGCACGGAAGAAAATGAGGCAGTTTGCTCCAGGAAAAAATGACAACCATGGTTTATTTCAAGATTAAAAAACTGCTTTAGACTTGGAAACAAAATAGTAACTTGTAGGATTGCCTTCTAAAAAATTAATAAATCTCAACAACAAATCAGAAAGAAGAAAATCATACTTACTACACAGTGAGACAATGGCAAAGAAGGAAATAATTAGGAAAGCCATACACAAAATAAACTCAGCACAGAAAAGTAGATGGAACAAAGAAATTAATACTACCATAAAAAAAAAAGAGTGCAGAATGGGAAGGATCCTTTGTGAAAAAACAATGTATTCAAACTTTGTAAATAAATCAGTATAAAATTTTTTAAAAAGAAAAAAAAGATAGCAATAAAGTCATTCTGTTATTGTTTGGTGCCATCGTGTACACGATGACTCAGCATGACCCTATGAACAACCTTGCCTTTTCCTGTGCCGTTCACACCATCTCCACTGTGCTGAAGCCTGTTGTTACAGCTACTGTAAGAGTCATTCATCATTAACTACAATGAGTGTGAATTGATTCAGTGCATGAGTCAAAAGAAAGAGGGTAGTAGAATGGCTAAGAAAACTCATTGTTGTTGAATTGAAATGGATTAATAACTGACCCTTCAGTGAGTTTTCAGAGGCCATAAATCACACAGGAGGAAATTGCCAATTCTTCTCCTGAGGTGCACCTGGTGGATCTGAGATGCAAGAGAGGCGCTATTTTGGGGTTAACAGTGCACCTCCCTCAGGACTACATTGCCAGAGCTCTCTTGGATAAGAAAACATGATCCATCGATAATAAGAGACACCTTGGACACAAGGACCAAAGCTTAGGAATAAAAAACTGGAAAAATATTATCAAGCAAACTGTCGATCAAAAAAAAAATAGGAGTACTAATATAAATTTCTGATAAAATATACTTTAAGGTAAAAACCAGCGTTAGAAACAAGGAAGGGCTTTATATAATGATCAAAGGGTCACTTGAACAAGGGGATATAACTATAATATCTACACACTCAGTGACAGAGCTATAAGATATATTTAACAGATTTGAAGAGAGAGACAGACAACCCCACAATAATAGTAGGAGACTTCAACATACCATTTTCAATGAGGGATGAGAAAACTAGAATGAAACTCAATAAGATATAATTAACCACCTTGAGCTTCTAAACATATAATACTCTATCCAACAAGTGTGTAATTTAGATTTCCTCTCCAGTGCACATGGAACATTCTCCAGAATAAACCATACGTGAGGCCACAAAGCAAGCCCAGTGAATTAAAAACATCACAATACTACAAAGCTTTTTCTCAGATTACAATGCTATAAAATTATAGATCAACAACAGGAAGATGGATGGAGGATCTAGTATATGAAAACTAGCACCCTGCTTGAATACTACTAGGTCATACTCAACTCATTGTCATTGAACTGGAACTGACTCATAACTGACCCTCCCTCCAGTGGGTTTGTGAGGCTGGAAACCACACAGGATGAGAATACACATCTTCTCTGGAGGTGCTGCTGGTGGCTTTGAACTGCCAGGAGGTATGACCTCTGGATTAGCAGCATAAAAGAAATTTTAAAACTTCTTGAAACAAATGAGACTGAAAACACACATACTAAAATCTTTGGAACACAGCAAAAGCAATACTCAGAAGTTAATTTATAGCAACAGACACCACCAAAATCAGCACTTCAACATTTCCAACAATAAGAACAAGAATAGCAAGCAAAATCTACTGTCTCCAGAAATACAATATAAGAATCAGCAAGACCGGCGCTGGCTGAAAATCGCCTGTGACTTCATCCATAGCCACTGGTGAGAGTCAGCACCCAGAGCCATCAGGGGCTTTAAGCTCGTTGCCCACT